TGTGTATGAGTGTTTTGCTTGCATGTGTGTATGTGCACCACCAGCATGCAATGTGATCCATTGGAACTGGAGTTAAGACAGTTGTAAGCCCCCTTTTCAGTGCTGGGAACTGAACCTGGGTCCTCTGAAAGAGCAGCAAGTGCTCTTAACCATGGAGCCATCTCTTCAGCCCCAAATTTAGTTTTAGAACTCATTTCATTCTTGAGTCAACTCTATGGGAGTGGGTGTTATGATGTATCCTGTTTTATGATGAACAAAAGGGAGTATAAATGAATTGTCTGGGCTTGAGACAATGATCAGGCACTGAGAGGTGGGTGACCTGCCTGAGGCCACGTGGGAGCAGTGGTGCTGGCAGAGGGAACACAGAGTGTAAAGGTACAGTCGCTTGTGGCGGCAGAGTGGGGGGTGGATGGCCTGATTTGCGGGCTGCCTTGGTTGCAGTAAGAGCGGCACCAACGGCAGGGCAGACGTGACGGCCTGGGAACACTGTGCTTATGTTGTAGGAGGCTAACGGGCCTGCCGACGGCTATGCTGCGATTGCCCAGGCGGACAGGCTGACTCAGGAACCCGAGAGCATCCGAAAGTGGAGGGAGGAGCAGAAGAAGCGGCTGCAGGAGCTGGGTGAGGGCAGAGCTGGGTGAGGGCAGAGCTGGGTGAGGGCAGAGCTGGGTGAGGGCAGAGCTGGGTGAGGGCAGAGCTGGGGAAGAGCTGATTCCAGCAGGGATGGCTTCTGGGACACGGGGAGTGGCATGCCTTGGGGGCTGTGCAGGCAGGCCCACTTGGCTGAGGGTGGGTCCTGGGGCTACTGTCTGGGGGCCAGGGGTGGAACATCTGGGGCGGCTGCTCTCCACAGAAAAGTTGTTGTACTCATTCTCCCGCCGGGCTTACAGACGCTGCCTCCAAGGTGACTGAACAGGAATGGCGAGAGAAAGCCAAAAAGGACCTAGAGGAGTGGAACCAGCGTCAAAGTGAACAGGTTGAGAAGAACAAGATCAACAACAGGTGAGTGACGAGGGGACTTGAGGGGAGCTAAGGAGACTATGGGAAGCCATGGAAACATGAGTCATGAGAAGATGAGGGGAGCCGTGA